TGCGTGGTAAAGAACGCGTGGTAAATATGCAATGTATAGTATATTCAACGCTTGGTGAGTGCAACGCGTAAGAAATCAATGCGTGGTGAATGTAACGCGTGGTAAATACAAGGCATGGCAAGTACTATGCGTGGTAGATGCAGCACATGGTAAGCAACGCGTGATAAATTCAATGCGTGGTAAATACAACGCGTGGTAAGTGCTACGCGCTAAGCCGCTAGCTCGAAGCTGTTCTCGCGTCTGCGCATGCGTAATCCCGCACTCTGATTGGTCCGGTGTTTTTCCTTAATAATTCAAAAACGAAGCTTCAAACCCCATTTCTGCAAAGGGAAATCTTATTCAGAATCACGTCAGCTACCCCCCGTTTCAGGGACCTACCCCGTATATGAAATTATAGGACTTGCAAAGTATATTGTAGATAAATACGCTACTGACCAAGAATGAAATTTGCAATTTTAATATCAGTGCGAGGAAACAAACACGATGTTCATACTTAACAGTACTTTATTGTTGACATTATTACACGTTATTATAAATCTATCATCTTGACACGTATAATACTTACTAAATCTACAGAGACAAGTGTAACGATAACCTATAACTAAACATACATTATGGCATCGGTACTTATTTAGTAAAGGAACAAACAGACGTATCGTTTTAATTTCCCTCGCAATACCTTAACACACACGACAGCCGAGAGTCGAGACGGGATCAGTAAAATATACATCGTTCAAATAATAATCATGGATTATTCTCAAATAGAGACGTTGTCTCGTTGCCTCATTTTCTCTACTCTATTCAATCTCCATTTTTACTTCTCATCTTCGCGCGGATAAGATAAGCAACGTTCCGCGCGATACGTTCGTATATGATACATTAAAACTTAATCGTTCAAAACGTGAATTTGTCCAAGTATAAAAGATTCTATCGAATAAAATATTTTTTACCTAAACGTTAAATCTCTGTTTCATCATGGCACAGATTTAATCGTTCGAGAACGTGCAGTTCGTGGATGCAATATAGTGCGATTTTCCGATCAGGTGATTTACATTTTATCGAAATATCGTTCTTTAATTATTTTTACAAGAGATAAATTTTTTAAATTATACTTACAGTTGCATTAAAAATCATTTTTTAATAATTATTTAGTTATTTGAATAAAAATTGGTAAAAGGGAGACTCAAAATGAAAAATTATAGAAAAATGTTTAAATAAAGATTAAATGATTTTATTAGCTTTGCAGAATTTTATTAACAAAATTTTAAATATTCAAAAAAAGGAGGAATTATAGTTATATTGAAAATTTTATTAACACAATAGAGTTTAGTTTAACAAAGTTAGAAACACGTTTCTACATTCTTCATGTTTATTTCGTTTAATTTACGATCGCACTATATAGTTTACTGCATCTCACTGACGTAACTAGAGCTTCTGTGGGGGTGGTTGTGGGCCCTTTTATGATCGAGTGATTTTTGAAAATTTAGGGATTCAGGGATTTAGGGATTTAGGGATTTAGGGTTTTAGGGATTTAGGGATTTGGGGATTAAGGGATTTAGGGATTTAGGGATTTAAGGATTTAGGAATTTAGGAATTTAGGGATTTAGGGATTTAGGGATTTAAGGATTTAGAAATTTGGAAATTTAAAAATTTGAGAAATTTGGGAAATTAGGAAAATTTAGATATTTGGGAAATTTGGGAAATTAGGAAAATTTAGA